GAGTACCTCAGCCTTCTCCTCATCTGCTGTTACCAGCTTGCCCGTCTCGCTCATCAGCAGGGGTATGCTTTCTTTAACCATCCTTTTCCGGCTGATATACCTGTAGAATCCCTTTTTATTATTCTTTGCATCCCTAGCCAAGTTTAGCTCTAGCTGTGCCTTGGCCTTCCTGACCCCATTCCTACACAACCGGACCGCGTCCCTGTACTCTTCCCAGGATGCCTGTCCCTGCTTCCACTGCCTGTGCAGTTCCCTCTTCCTCCTTAGTTTGACCAGTCTTTTCAATAAAGATGACTTTCCTGTTACAGGGCAACTCATGCATGCCCTGTCTTCAAGAGGTCAATGCTGAATTGGGGGAGAAGAGATAAGTGAGGATTTTGACTAGTTGGAAATGTAAGGGCTTCAGCTGGACTTTGAATTTCAGTTTTCTAGGCCTATCTACGAAACTTGGCTCTCATGTGGGTAAAAAACCAAACATTTTTAATGTAATGTAGTCTAGGAATTGATTTTGTTTCCATAAAGCTGTACTCGATCCCTCCACAGATGACATGGGCATTTGTCTTGGCATGGGAGTATCTCAGAAGCTGCCTGTTCTGGGCATGGCAAGCCTGAAGGGCCCCTGGGCGACCATCAGGATCCCGGCTGACACCAGCCTCTGGGTTTTGAGAGCTCTCTGGCCTCAGCTTCCCATTTTGCAGCTGAGGAGCTCAAGCAGTGCTGGTCTTGGGACAGCAAACATACAGAGCCTGGTTCCCGTAAGCCACTTCATCCTCAGACAGTGAGCTCCCAGAAAAGCAGATTACACAGAGTGTCCGGTTTAGGGAGGACCATCCATGCTATATAGCTCTTGACATCCCTGGACATTGTGTCTTGATGAGGCATACATTTTAGGGACTTAATAGGGAATGGGAAACAAAGGGATAATCCATCTGTATTGAAAAGACAAAAGGGAAATGTGGGAAGTATTCCAGCCCTCTGCCGCAAAAATACCTTTATGTATTACTCATCTGAGTGATTGCAACATGTTCTGACAGTTCTGATGCCAAATCTGTGACTAAAATACCAAGGAAAGCCAGGTGTCCATAGTCTTTCTAGCAATGAGTGACATCCCAGATATATTCTTTGAGAAAGCCTGTTTTGTGTGAGATAGCTTGGGGTCCAAATATTTGCAAACCCAAACTCTGGGTTCACCTGCACGCTGGGGAGCAGCTGTGGGTCTGGCATTTCTAGAGCAGTATAGAAAGTCTCAGCCTTGGTGTTGTGAAAGTAAATGTGTGTGTGCTTTCACTCAGAGCAACTTCACAAAATGAGAAGTTTCCTTAGTGCTGTGGGCAGATGTGGCCCAGACGTGGAGCTGGGACTGAGTTACATGGAGTAGTTCAGGTATTCAAACCACTGGTCTGATTGAAGGGAGAAATAATTTTCCCATTAAATCTGTTCCTGCCTAGTGTATTTCAGATATTTAGCACTTGGATTTCTTCTCTTCTTGTGGTATGGACAGATACTGAAAAAAAATACTATGTGGCAACTGGATATCACTCTTCACTTAAATTTCTCAAAGTATATTGCAAAGGAGAGAAAATGCTCCTTTCCCCTGTTCTCACAAATGTAAGGGGTATAAAGGCGGGACAGAAGTGCTGCAGGTGGCCAAAGGGAGTGACAGAAAAGGTGGAATAAGGTCTCCATGTTCTCCATTTCCAGGGGTGTCCCAAGCTCAGAAGAGCAGGCGAGGGCTGACAAATGAGCTGGAGACAGCGCTGTAATCGTGGGCTCTCGGCTTGTGCCCCTGCTAAGTGTCGGAGTCCTGTTCTGGGCCAAGGGAGGGA